CAAACAATCACAAAATTTACTTTTAGATTGTATATATAACATAATATTACAGTAAAAATCTATTGTAATCCACCTAGCGGTGGCAACGAGCCGAGCCGAGCTCGAGCCGGCCGGAGCTTTTTTCGGTCCGAGCCGAGCCGGGTCCGGCCAAAAAAAATGAGGCTCAGCCCGAGCCTTAGCGGGCCGCCGGCTCAGATTTTTTGATTTTTTTTTTCTCTTTAGCTGCCTTTGCAGGCAACTAAAAATAGCTGCCTGCAGGCAGCAAGCTTGCTGCTTTAAAAAATTTTCTTTTTAATGGACGCTCGCTCGGGCTCGAGCCGACTCCCCAAAGTGGGACTCGGCCAGAGCCTGGGCTCGATTCCACCGAGCTCTAGCCGGGCTCGGCTAGGGCTTTTTCCAAGCCGAGCCCGAGCCGTCCGAGCCTTCGAGCTTTTTTGCCACCGCTAAATCCACCTCGATTTTGGAAACTATGTAAATAGGTTGAGATTTGTTTATTCACACGAACAATTGCCTTAAACACTTTGGGGTGTGCTGAAATGTGACAAAGTGATCGTATAGTGTTCATGATCCGATCGTCGTGATAAGATATCGAGATGAGATTATAACAAGTAATCGAAATGGATCTCGCTATTCATTAAACCTATTTAGTGACCAAATCGAGTTCTTGATTTGAGATTGTTTGGAGGAATGAATATAAAGTAAACTCAAATTTAGTATCGTGGAATACTTGAATTAGGATATGTATAGTGTTAGTTATTTATAAAGAAATGACATACGCCTCTAGGAAAGGGAGAAAACACTGAGCACACATTTTATACCATGTGTGCTTTTACGACCAATATTGGATAAACGAGTGAATGGATCCCTGTTTTCTTATTGTGTGAGACATTGAGATTTATATAACCTCATAAACACCCTTATGATTTTTTATTGTTTCTTGATATTTTATTTCAGTGTTACTATTTTAGCATGTTACTAATGATTGTGATTGATTTGGTTTGATGTGACATGTCTAGAAAAACAGTTGATTTAAAGTTGAAGGATTCAAGTAGGAGAGGAAAACTATTTCGACAAACATTTATATTTGTATTTACCGATCGAACAATTGTGTTTAATCATTTAGATATAGAATATAATTGTGAATACAATGATACAATGTGGTATGCTCCATAAATACTCGAAAGATCAAAAATACTTGAATTCATGTTGGAAAATGAGTTTGGGGTACATCGAGATGTAAAGTTCTTCTAATAGAGCTACTATATATCTCTAATAGTTTTATAGTATCGTGAGTTCTAATATGTACTCACTGGTCGTACGATCAGATCTATCTGCCATATAAATCTTTGCGAGATAGGCATTGAGAAAGATCTAATGTGTGATGTACGTTGTAACTTGTGGTTCAACTTAAGCCCATTATGTGCGAGTAGGAGATGTTAGAAAGTATGAATTGTGTGTCGCTCATGTTGGTGACTCGACTCACAAGACATTAAAAATGTTGGAGGGAATGGTTCGAACATGAAATTCAAATCTACAACTCCCTATAACATTAATTAACTCCCATGTAACTTCTAATTATTATTCACAAAAAAAAGAAGGGAAAAAGATAGCAAGATAATATGGTGAAATTCGTATAGAAAATATTACCAACATTGAATAAAATAATATTTTATATCATATCAATAACTTTTTCTTACTTTTTAACTAAATATTTATCATCATATCACTATTTAAATAAAATACATTATTTTCTCAATAATATCCATCAAATAATCACAAAATCTACTTTTAGATTGTATATATAACATAATATTGCAGGAAAAATTGGACAAAATCTATTGTAATCCACCTCGATTTTGGAAACTACAATAAACCCATGATTAATACATAAGTATTAACACGATTGACTCACAAAATCTACTTTTAGATTTTAAGTAATTAACAAATATTCAAAAATCTGCTATGGATTGCTGTAACTTGTGGATAATCAACTCTATATAAACAGAGAAATGGAACACAGCTTTCAGGATCATATTTTTATATTAATTTCACAGGTGGAAGGAATTCAAGATGGCAAAGCTTTTAAAATCATTTTTCTTAGTGATATTCCTTGTATTTTTAGCATCAGGTACTGATTTATTTATTTACTTTTTCGCATTTAAACGAATTATTATTCAGTTTAAAATAATTAAAGAAAAATAAAATGCATTTATTTATTTCTTGTATGCAGATTGTTTGGCTTACAGTATCTGCAAAACTACATTTCGCTATAGTTGCACCCCGAACACAAAGTCATGCGAGGGAACATGCCAAGATATTATAATTGTTCCGTCACCATACATAAGGAGCTATTGTATAATTGGGCAACACCAAACTAGTTATTGTGTGTGCCAGTATAAATGTTCTCTCTCTTCTAATAAGTTGAAGAAACAAGCCATCAAAAATTGAGAAAAAGACGTGAATGGTTATCGTGTCAATGAGTTGAGATATTGAATAAAAATCGATCTTGATGATAGTTTCTTGAATGATGCTACATTCACAGAAGAAAAATCACAGAAATCCTACAGAATACACACATTTAGGTGGGGTCCGATTTTTTTGGCAATATGAAATTCACGCGGGCCCACTTGCCATGTGCCTCATCTGTAGAAATTCTATGAAAATTCATTCTGTACATATGGATTAATTCTAGTTTCTTTATAGTGGAAATTTAATTTAATGCAATTTGATTAGCCAATCGTGTAGCCGGCACCAAGAAAAAAAAAAAAGACTAACGATTTAAAAAGAATGCAAAGCTAGTTACTCTTCTTTTCCATTTACTTGTTTTTTTACCCTTTTAAGGTTTGGTTTGGAATTACTCTTAAGAGTCCCAACTTTTGCTCTCAAAGTATAGTTATTTTCTGTGTTTTGCGAACATAAAAAACTGATAATGAAAGGATTTGCATCACGGGGAAAAAGATTTTGGAAATTAACAAAAGAATAGCTTCTCATATTCTACTTTTAACCACATGCCCGTGATTCAATCTTTCAAGACTCGAGAAATTAACCATGTTCT